AAAACACGATAAACCAGCGACAAAACTTTGTCGTCAAAAGACAAAACAAAATTGAGACAAACTGTCCACACAAGAACAACAAAATATAAAAACAAAATTCAGTTGGTGACGTTGTTGTTGTGATTAGTGTTGGTTAACCATGTGGCGTTTTTATCAAGAAAAAAATTAAACTGAAGATTTATTGCTAACCGCAAGTTGTTTTTTTTTGCTCTCATCATCCCAAGTTGCTAAAAGAAAACCCAAACGTTTTTGGATTAGACTAAGCCTAACAATGGGAGAAAGTTGTTCGATAGACAAATTGTTAGTTCAGCTGCGCGCAGATGTTATTGGACTAAGTGGTGAAATTCGATCAAGCTTCAAAAATTTTTAAGAATGTCCACCGAAGATTTTGAGAATCTGATATGCCTTGTTGGTCCTGCAGTTGCAAAAAGACATACTAACTTTATAAATGCTATAAGTGTAACAGAAAGGTTAGCAATCACTTTAAGATTTTTAGCAACAGGTGATTCCTACCACAGCCTAACGTATCAAAGCAATCAATATCTGTAATAATACCTACCTGAAGTATGTAAAATCTCTTAAAATAAACTCCATATTTATTGGTTATATGTTTAATACAAAAGAAATTGACGATAGGTACATACTACATACAAAATAATGACGAGTCTACTTGTTTTTACATTCAAAAAGTTCATCATCAATTTCGTTTGTTTTCTTGATCTGAATACTGAGAAAGCTCTGTGTCAATACTAGGTGGATGTGAAAATAAAGGTTGTGTGTTGTTGTTTGGTGGATTTAAGTAAGAATTTTGTGGGTCAGCGCTAGATGGATTTGAGTATGAATGTTGCGTGTTGGGTGGATTTGAGTATAAATGCTCAATGCTGGGTGGATTTGAGTATAAATGTGTGTCAATGCTGGATGGGAGGATTTGAGTATGAATGTTGTGTGTCAGTGCTGGGTGGATTTGAATACAAATGTTGTGGGTTGGAGTTGGATGGAGTTGAGTGAACATTTGTGTTGAGACTAAGTGGATTTGAGCACGAAGAACCAGAAAATCCTGTGAGAAACTGAATATATTCTTTCATTTGGCGTTGTACCTGGAATAGTGGTGGCTTCTTGAGTTCATTATACTTGCCCATTTCAGCGTCATGCAATAGATTGTGAATTAGATGTTCTACTGTGGACTAGGCATAAGGTGTGGGTAAACTCCTCAATTTTTGAGTGTACTGCTTAACTTGTTTTGGCACGCACACGCGTCCACACTGCGCCGACAACTTGTAGTCAAATACACAGACAAAAGACAGACTTTTTGATCTTTACCGACCTGAGACGGGACCTGAAAAAGTTTTCAAATTTGCAAACAAAACAAAATTGTTCAGAAATGTCTCAACAAATGTTTTCGATTTGTCGCCACTTTGTCGCGAAACATGAATGTTTTTGTTTTGTCTGTTTGGTCTGGAGCCGGCATAAGGAAGAAAAACTTTTGTATGATGAAGGTCTGAGTCTTTGGGTTGAGAATGAGTGGGAGATTGATGTCTGTGGATGCTCCTATTGATTTGATTTTCGCGGTAACCGTTTTGGATTTGGGGGGTTTGTTTTAAGCTAGTCCCCGATCTTATATAGTCCGAACAAATCGTAGAATCCAAAATAGTATTTATGAACACATTCCATCTCTGTTTGAATCATTGAAATCGACACGCACCGACTTGTTTCAGTTAACACCGTACGCATCAATTGCCATAGCAGCCCACTAATACATCAGTTCTTTTTACGAAGTTAGCAAGTGCATTACAAATGGATATCATCAAATGGATGTCAAAGCAGCTCAAGCAGCTACGGGTCCCAGAAACAAAAGGCGATTAGAATTTGCTCACGAACATCTGGATTGGGAGGACTATGAATAGAGTCTGGTTTTATTCTCCGACGAAAGTAAGATCTGCTTTAAACGGCAACTACAAGAGGCGTGAAGTCTATAGAAGGCCAGAAGAGCGGTTTGCTCAATATTGTATACGAGAAACTGTGTCATATGCAGGCGGTTCTTATATGTTTTGGGCGGGCATTTCCATGGATAGGAAAACCGAGTTGGTTTTCGTGCTTAATGGAGGATGTGCAGGAGGTTTAACTGCGAATCGTTACATCTGAGACATTTTGGAGAAACGTGTGGTTTCATACCGGGATTTATTGCTAATCTTCTTCTTCTTCAGTGGTATAAATTTAGATATGAACTAATCTTTTGGTAAAGTTCCTGTTTTATATATACGGTTAAATAATTCTGTCATAATGTCAAGTTGATTGTCTTTTTGCGAGATAATATACTTCAATGTGTTGGTTGTCACTGAAAAGTTCTGCTATATATTCCTGCTATCTGTCCAGTTTTTCTTGCGTATTGAATAGTATGATTTCTTTCTTTTATCTTTATCAAACACTGCAGTGGGCATTGTTGTTCTATATATTCCTGCGATCTCTTTTATCTTCCCGTGTATTGCTGATGCTTTTATTTTAATGCACGATGCCATTCTGCGCGAGTCACCACAACCTGACTGAGATCGGTATACCTACAATAAATTGGCCTGCGTTGAGCCCGGACTTAAATCCAATAGAACATGTTTGGAATGAACTTAACCAAAGGGACCGGGACAGACCAGGGAGCATAATGGAATCAGGGAGAACAATGCCTCAAGAATTTATTAGAAAAGTCATCTGATTCATGAGAAATCGAATGAAACAAAATACTGAAAAATAAAGGAATTTCTTTTTGTAATTGATGATTTCTCTGTTCAAACCGTCCTCCAAATAATTTGCTGTGTTAGTAAATATTTTTCCATGAATAGTGTACGTGCATAGATCCACAGTTTATAGTTACAAATGTGCTGGAAGCGAAGTTCCCGTTTGATTGCTCCTCGTATACGTATTTAAATAGGTTTCATAATTTAAATGTGATTTCCTCGATTAATTTCAAGCCATATAAAGGCGAAACCGTTAAGTAAACACATCTAGATAACGAAAATTATAAATTTCGTCGGTGTTTACCATAAAAATGTTGCCCGAAGATTCGAGACTTGAGACGGGCACACTATTTGAATATGAATGCCGGTCCATTAACCATGGGGAATAAATGCGCCCATTTCGAATGCATCTCATTCGTCTTGTGGAGTGAAGATTCGCGTTAAAGTCCACAGATATTATAACCGGTCGCAAATTATGTAAATTTTTTCGGGCCTTCAATTTGTTTTCCGTCAAAGTGACATTGTTTTACGGGGGTATTTCGAATGAGAGACGAAACTCGTTTGTTGGAGGACCATGTGCGAGATATCAGTCGAGTTTTTAATGTACCTGAACTAATTTAGCGTTTGGACAACAATTGTACGATATTACAGATTGGGGCTGTTCTAAAAATTTAATTACACGTGTATGGGTCAATCCAAAAAAGGATATGAAGCAATACAGTAATACTGGGCTTTGGAGCTAGAAATGATACTTGAGACATATTGAAATTATTAGTGAAAGCTTAAGTATTCACAGCAGATTTTAACATAGTTGATATGTTAAATGAATGACCCAAAGAAATGCCATAAACCCGTGAAGAAGAATTTTGTCAGAAGATTTTTGTAGATTCCTACTTTAAACCTGCTTAAAATAAACATTTCACAGACAAAGTGGATGGCGGTTGGAAAAATTAATTTAGATCAAGGTTTGCTTTCGAAAATTCAAATCAGAAGCATTCGAATTGTGGTGCTTTCGACGCATGATAAAAATATCATGGGTTACGCACATTTCCAATGAAGATGTTCTTAAAATGATGAATTCAGAAGAACTGAGTACACCGGCTAGTAATTAGAGGACCCAAATACCATATACTTCACTTTATAATATAAGAAAAAGGGGAGGGAAAGTGATGGATTGGTCGAAAGAAACTTTCATGGCTGCGTAATATGGTAAAGGTGTGGTACCACAGTAGAAGAATTATTTCTACCCGCAGCAGCAGAAAACGGTTTCACAAAATTGTAAACATGATGATGGAAAACGTCTGAATACGGACACGGCACCTAAAGAAGAAGGTTCATACTACAAGAGACAAATTGAAAAATCTTGTACCAATTCGACATCGTTTGGGAGAACTACCATAGAAAATGTGGAATGAAAGCACTAACATTTTTTATCTGGATGAAATGTGGATTAATAAAGTACATTGTGGAAAAAAAGTAATTTACTGGATTATGATTTTTAACTGGTGAAGGTCGCCAGTTGATTATCACTGACATTGGAGAAGATAAAAGATTTGTTGATTAAAATTTGTTAAAATCTGTTTTAAAACTCTACGAAAGGATACCATGGAAAAACGACTTCTGAAGATTATTTTTGTAATAATGATACATTTCCTACCGATCAAGGTGTCGTAGTTCTGGATAAGTCTTCTTCTTTGTCAACCAATCGGAACCTTCATTGGATAAGTCAGTTATCATTATATATTAAAAAAAAACTGATACCTGGCAGTAACGGACAAAAGAAAGAGCTCTTAGTTTGACCAATAAGCCAAAAATGAAGGTAGAAGAAGGAATACTAAAAACAGGTAATCTCAATATGCATCAACTGCTTCTTCAAGACTTACAAAATTATCCTCGCAATTTATTTTGGTTAGTCAGGATAAAAAAAGTCACTGGTGAAAAATCGGGTCAATATTATGGCAATTTTATGGCTAAACGGCCAAAACTTTAATGATTATTGTATGCTTCTTTATTGTTATTGTTTAGTGTATTTCATTTAATCTGCATCAGCTAAAGCTTTTCTATTTCCCACTATAAGAAGATTGTGCAAAATTTTGCTATACTGTAATGTCATTAACCAACTTATTTGAATAGTATATACTAATACGAGTAACAAAAAATATGTATTCTTGTTCCTCAGTATTTGTTAATATAGGTAACCATATTTAACCAAAAAGCCGTGTAAAGGTAACCACACACAGCAATATTTATCATAATGAAATAAGTGTTCCTTACCTGTATACCCAGGGGCGCAGGCGCACTGGTACGACTCCAAGGACCGCAGAGAACACGTGCCCCCGTTCAAACACGGTTTCTGATCGCATGAATTCGCTATTCTGATCTCGCACAGCGAAGCACTAAACCCGAGCGGACACTGACAAGTGAAGCTCGGCGCTTCACCCGGTGACACGCGGACCTGACACGAGCCGCCATTTTGACAACGGGGGCCTTGCGACGGGTGGCACGGATTCGGGTATTGGCAGTATTCTCCGACGTATTTTGAGGTGCAACTGAAACAAAAAATAAAAATTAGGATCTGATGGAATGTATTTTAAAGGATGTAATTTGCAAATTTGATAATGTATTATAACTTAGCATGGTACACTATAGTATAGTAACTGACTTTGGTCAGATCATTGTCTACTGGACTGTACGCCATAAGTTTTGAGTCATCAAGTCACATTTTTAGAAGAGTTTGTTATGAGCATATCTTATAATTTGCTCTAAATCATTGTTTTGAGCTGCATCCAAACGATTCTCTCGGTTCTTAAACCATGAAATTCGTCTTCTTCCGATGCTTCTTCTGCCATCTATCTTTCCTTACATTATGAGTCGCAGGATGTCATACTTATAACTATAAGTACTTATAACTAACACTGCTTATATTAACAAATTATCACGCAAAATGGTAGATGAATTACCTTTTTAAATTCTCAAATCTTCTGCTATGGGTCAAAATAAATACATTCCAATGTAGACAGACCAACAACTGTTCAGCATCAAACGATTGCTGTTGAATTAGTAAAATCAGCGAATAAGAACAGTTCGTAACCAAAAATCGTTGAATAAAACTATATATGTGGTCTGCGTATATTTTACCCAACAGTTACGATAGCACCTAAATTAATCAAGATAAAGATCACCATATTTCTTCGTTTCTTTGATAATCTTTAAATTTTTACTAAAACCGTCCAGACGAACATTTATTCTCTGGTCCATATCACCGCGGACAACTTCATATGTAATGACCCTTGATCATTAACATTAACCAACCCATTCCTTATCTAAAAGACGAATGGTAACTCCCGAGTACATATACGAAAAAGCTTTAATGGCATCTCATACTTAGTGAATGCTTAAAACCGACTAATGGTATCGCTCGGCAGAGAAAGTATGTTGAATGGATTGTATTCATAAAATGTGTCCATGGATAAAAGTGTGGTTTTTTATTCAATTCCTTTATTGTAATTTTTTTGAGAGAATGTATTTAGAATTCTTGTGGTGAGATGGTAATTATTTGATTAATAATTCTACATAATATGACAAAAAAAGGATAGTAGAAAAATGAAACGGAATATGAAGTAAAGTCTTAATACAATTGTATTGGTTAGTTAACAACTTTTTGGTGTGTTAAGAAGTGATAAAGCTTCGTTTATTAAGTGATTATATAAAGAAAGAAGTTTATTTTTGACACGCTTTCTTCATTCCACGATATTTTGTTAGTATGTACATTTATTACAATTCGTGGGCACATTTTTTTATTTATTTAAGGCAGCCGCATCAACTATATTGGTTATTAGCGGATGAATTTAATGAAAACAATAATAATTACAAATAACAAATAACTAACATGCTTATATGTGGTTCAATATGCTACAGTCTTTAAGAATTTCATAATACTTTCACTGGTATACTCACTAAAAATGACCCTTTTCCATTTCTGATCCATAACTGATGGAATTTTATTAGTTAGTCTTTCAGTACTATATTTGGGACACTCCGTTAATACGTGTTTCACTGTTATCGGCACGTCACAACTCGTACATTTTGGTTGAGGTTCCTTCTTCATGAGATATTCATGTGTGAGTTTGCTGTGTCATAATCGGAGCCTGGTTAATACAACCTGAAGGAAACGGCTAGGAGCGTTGTTAGTCCATCGTCCAAAATTTGGTTTAATTTCTTTTAACTTTGAGGATTTTTCTTCCCAACATTTAGTCCAATGACATATCAGCTTTTATTTAAAGTACAGATTGAGATCTTCTGCTAATGGTTTTATTATCGGTCTGATACTTGGGGAATTTGCTATTTCTCGAGCATTTTTATCTGCTAGTTCGTTTCCTTTAATGCCTATATGTGATGGTATCCACACGAAGACTAATGTTTTGTTTTCCAGCTGCTGCATCTTGTTTTTAATTAATTTAGATATCTGGTTGCAAGTGTACATTTTTGACAGTGTATGAAGGGTCAGTAATAATAAGGAATTTATCTGGTTTGACTGTTTGTATGTGAATTAGAGCTCTGTATATTGCATACAATTCTCCAGTTATATGGGCACATTTTGCTTTAATTCTTTTTTACTTATCTATATCACAACGCTTTAAAACACCAACTACCTTGTTACAACAGCATTTTTATTCGACTAAAAGCTTTTTTGTTGTCCCTCATTCTACATGTATTTTTGTTAACGAATTTGCCCCATTATACATACATTATCCCTAAAACCTTACACGTATTGTAGGTAGATGCAACAATGGACCACATAAAATAAAACAATGATTTACGATATAATAGTTATTGTCATATTTATCTCAACAATCTTCATGATGTTCTTTCAACATTTAATTATAACATGAGATTGTGTTATAACATAACGTTGATCAATCAATTTCAAGCTGAAAAAAATGGCTTCAGTCATTAAGTGTGATCTTAAAACATTCCACCACTAAGAAGAATGTAGCTGAATCGGATGAGAGCTCACAGAACTCGGACATATGACCAAAATCTCTTATGTAAGAATTGATAAAACACTGACCACCTCATTTAATACAATTACAGCACTTAAGGAATATATAAAAAAATACAAAGAGACTGGTGTGATGAAGATTGTAAAAGAGCAGTTGTTAGTGACTGAAATAAAGCAAAAATCTAGCCCAAGAATAAACAATAAAAAGCAAAACAAGATTTTCTTGCAGCAGAAATTGAGCTATATTGAAGAAAATATTAAAAATACAGAAATTTCTACTAAAAGATGAAACGGAAATGCACTATCATAATACCACACAACAAATAAAGATCCTCGACCCTTATGGCACTATAACACATTTTTTTTATCCCGTGGTGGAATATTTCGTGTCATTTAAGATCAAAGATCAAACAATAGCATGCAAAGAATTCTTCTGAATCTAAATCACATGATGACGCGTACTTTTCAAACAGTTCGATCCATTTTTTTCTTGCCAGTTGGTTGTGGACTACCCGGTGATTAATGTCGAAAGAAAGAAGAATATCCGTGCCTTGCCCTCTGCAATTAAACGTTTCAATTACTTTAACTATTTCCTGTCCAGTTGTGTGAAATCGAATAGACCGGCAATTTGAGGCAACAATAATAATTTAGTAATAAAAAAATTAACTTTGGGTAACCTTAAATTTTACCATTGAAACGACCAGCGAATTTAACCAACTGTAATTATTTTTAAATGCTCAATTTTGTTCTGTGCGGAAATAAAATAACAACATAAAGGTCATTTTTGGACATTATTGGGGCCAGAATGCAAATCAAAATGTGATAAATTTGTATAGAAATTTGTGCTGGTTGATCCAAATATATGTAGAAATTATACATACAATGATACCCACTGTTTACTGCAGTGTTTTCCCATCTATACACATATCACAGAATTGTCAAACCAAGCAAATGACGAAAAAATGAGAAACTCACAGAAGACACGAGAAACATAATGCAAAAAAAGCGAAATGAAAGGTAAGCACACAACTAACATTGCAGAGCTAAGGAATTTAAACAAAACCACTGCCACTAGCTCTCACAATAGCTTACATCCTCCTAGACATGTTTCTTAGAAGGTCTTCAATGATTGCTTGCGGAATTCGAACACATTGTTCCTGTGCAGCAATTTGTATTTCTGCAATCGAGCTAGAGCTATCTCAATATTCACAGCCTCAAAATATTGGGTTACTGTTTTTGCGGTATGTGCACGAGCATTATCATGTTTAGTACGAAATGATCGAACCCAGTGAAGCCAACATAAAGTAAAACATTATCTGAAATGGTGTTCGTTATGTGCCAATCAGCATTCATTCTTATATCTAATTCAACATGCTTTGTGCGACTGTCACAACTAAGCCTATCTCGTAGTAAAATTGAACCGCCACCAAAACTAACATTTTTTTGCTAGAGTAGTCATCGAAACGTTATTCAGAGAGTCTGTTTACTCTCCCATGGCAAATGCTAGCCAGAATTTAATTCGGTTAGGGAACCATGTTAGAATTCTTGTACCTGGGACTCCCACATGAAGAGCATTGGCTTATAGAGTGCCCTATCGAACATCAGAGTGCTACAGGGGAAAGGAGTGGTCTGGAGCATTGGAGCGTGGTGCAGTAATTCCTGTTAATTAATACACCTCGCTCCAGTAAAATGTTACACCCTAACGTCATTTCAAGAGGTGAACAAGTCTCTCAAGCTGGGTTTAATTAAAGAGCTTGATTGATCTGTAAGCGTGCGATTTCGTAAGGACTAAATTTTCAAACATTGCTCATATCTATAGGTGTTATAAAACAAATAAAGAAACGATAAAGGCACACTACGCAATATTTGTAATTTGTGCTTCTATCTTTAGGCTGCTAATAAGTATTCAAATCTGTCTGTGATAAATTATAATACACATAAAACACTCCACATATTTCTAAGTGAAATATGCGAATATAAAAGTTCATAGGAAAAAAATTCCCATAGAAAAAATTCTTAACCATAGAAAAAAATTAATAAGCAAAATTTTTGTTCGTGAGTGTATTTTATATCAAGTTTTTCTTTGCATTACCATAAGCAAACTCTTTCTCCACACCCATACAATTTACATGTATTTTGCATCATAAATGAATATATAACTATAATATTATCAACCTTACAAACAATGAGCCCGCAATTATTTAAATTTTATTATATATTGTCTATAAATAACGGTATTAAAATCTCTTTTTTAATTTGTTTATTATATGCTCATAGATTTATGAAAGCATCAGCATACAATTTTTACATTTTCCTTATAAACGACAGAAGTTTGGCTACAAGTTGTATATCTTATTCATCAAAATAGTCAGATTGTGGTTAAAAGAATTCAAATGTGCCAAATAAAAAGAATGTAATGGCGAGAAACTTCGAAACGGCGCTAGTACGTCTTGATTAATCTAAAAGATAAGAATCTGAAGACGAGAAGACAAGATCCATCCAATTATTCGAATTACGTAACCGCCAATGCGGCACAGCACACTCTGCCTTTAGTTCCAACACACGGAAGAATTGAGCCGAATGACATTTTGTGGAATTCATTTATTTTAAATAGCAACTGTTCGTCTGGTCACGAGTTCTATAGATGCAAAATATTTCAACAGGAACTTCAGGTGGCCCAGAGATATATACAGTATTTTTGCTAATTAATACAGTAATAAAGTTATGCTAATCCATCCAAATTTTTTTCGTATATTTTTATTTATTAACAATTAAGTGAAAAATGGCTAATTAGAATTTTCAAGAAATACATTATATTGTATCAAAAACCTGAACAGAGAATCTAGTTTATCGAAAAACCTATGGTAAACGTTTTTTTTTTGGTGCATTTGCTAATACATAAACGTAAGAGGTAAAACTTTTATAGCAAACTTCAAAAAACATTACATCTCACAGCATCTAGAGATATAACAGTGATCATGGGTGATTTCAATGCAAAAATGGGCGAAGGAAAATATGTAGGACCTTATGGGCTTGGTTAACGAAACGACAGAGGAGATTGCCTAATAGAATTTATACCAGGAGCATAATATTATAGCCGCAAATACATTTTTTAAATTACCCTAAGCGAAGCCTTTATACATGGAAATCGCCAGCTGACAAAAACAACAAAATCGTCAGAAATCAATTTGACTACACCCTAATAAATAAAACACAGATATCGAAACTCAATTCAGGCAGTAAAGGCATATCCAGGAGCAGACGTATCCTCTGATTACAGTCTTCTTATTGCTAAGTTTCAACTTCAACTAAAAAGACGCAAAAAAGCGGCAACAACAATAAACTTAACATACAGAAACTAAATTCAGAAGAAACAAAAGAAAATTTGAAACACGAAATAGACACAAATCTAGATAGAACCCAAGAAATAATTGCAACGTAGAGCAGCAGTGGCAATTCTTCAAAAACTCTATATTGGAGACAAGTAAGAAAGTACTTACAACAACCAAATGTAAGAAAAAAAGGATGGATGGCTGAGGAAATTCTAGATTTGATGAATGAATGGAGAAAAAACAAAACCATCAATACGATCCGCTATAAATAACTTCAAAACCAAATAAGAAGAAAAATTAGGGAGGCTAAAGAAACATACTTCTCTGAAAAATGTAAAGAAATAGAAGAACTGCAAAACAGATACGACACATTTAATCTACATAAAAAAGTCAAAGAACTAGCCGGAGTAGGAAATAGAAGAACCTCAATTATATTGCTCGACAAAAATAGAATTATTCTATTGGAGAGAGAACAAAAACTACGACGATGGAAAGAGTACATCGAGGAATTATTGCATGACAAGGGAGAAGCTAGTACATCTGTAGATAGCCAAACGGAGATGTAGGCCCAGAGATAACCAAATTAAAGGTTAGTCAGACATTAAACTCAATGAAAACCAATAACTCTGATGGTCCAGATGAATTACCAAGCGAGCTATTAAAGTTGGTCAACGAGAAAAACCTGGACATAATAGTAGAACTGTTCAACGCTATCTATACTACGGGAATCATCCCTAGAGAAATGTTGACATTAGCATTTGTGTGTTTGCCAAAGAAAGTGAATGCCAAAGAGTGCAGTGACTATCGAACCATAAACTTGATGTCACATATCGTGAAAATTCTGTTGAAAATTATCCACGCCGGAATTCACTCTAAACTGGAGCTGGATATTAGTGACACACCATATGGGTTCCGCAATGGTCATGGGTACCAGAGAGACATTATTCTCCTTCAACGTGCTGACACAAAGATGTTTGGATGTTAACCGTCCTCTTTACGTAAACAAACCTTTATTACAATTAGCGAGCAATAGTACGAATTGAAAAAGAGACATCTGAAGAAATGGAAATAAAGGGAGGAGTCAGGCAAGGCTACATAGTATAACTTCTATTATTTAACGCTTATTCTGAAGAGGTAATTCGAGAAACTCTGGAAGATGAAACAGTCAGCATAAGAGTAAATGGAGTCTTAGTTAACAACATCAGATATGCAGATGATACAGTAATAATAGCCGATAGTTTACAAGAACTGAAAAGACTCATAGTAAAATAGTAATTATGTAGTAGGGAGTACGGACTCTCGCTCAATATCAAAAAGACGAAGTTTATGAAAATTTGTAAAAACAACCATAATACTAACGAAATCTTGATAGTAGTGGGCCAGCAGATCGAAAGAGTTACACTTACCTAGGAACACTTATAACAGAAAATAACTACTCTAGATAAGTCTAGAAAGAAACGTAGAAGACCATCATCAGAACTTTCTCAAAATATATCTAAAAATCAAATTTCAAAATTTTAAATAGATTTTTCAGAAAGCCACTAACTTAAATGTATTGTTCTCAAAGAAGTAAAGGTGACGCTTGGTCGAGTTGTACATAAAGCGGTCCAATTTTAACTCGTTGTTTCATACCCCACTCAAAATGAAGTCTACGCTACTGACAAACAACGTACCCTCCCGAAACTTCTTTCATCCCTTTGTACACATAAAGTCTTCATCTATCAATAATTCTGCTACTTTTGCGTATATTCATTTACGTATATATTTACGTTATGAACGTGGGAAAGTATACAAAACGCACTTTTTGTCGATTGAACCGAGCAAGAACAAGATGAGTGAAGTCTGAAAAACTGGTAACAGTATCAACGCGAGAGAGACGGAGAGAGGTAGACGATAATAAGAAAACAGGATGCAGATGGAACTTCGTTATACTATAAAATGATCTTTTTAACATTAATTTAAGTATTAAGTGGCACATCTCATGAATTTTAAACATAAGGCAGCGGCCAACGTTTGTTTTAATTGCCATTGCTTTCTTGGTTTTGTTCGAAAAAACATTGCTTTTATCAGGTTACGTCACACTAAGCGTTTTAAAACGATTCGATTTGTAAAACAAATAAAAAACATTTTATTTACTTGTATACTAACAGTGGAAGCTTTTTTCAGTTCGAAATAGGCAATATCATAATTATGCAACAATAAAACACTGAAAACTTTGTTTTCAAACTTCCACAAAATTTATTTTAACTATTATCACTACAGCTGTTTCGGCTGATATTACGGTACAAACTAATGTGGCGACTGCCCAAAAACTTACATCGGTCAAACTGGTAGAAATTTTAATAAACGAATAGCAGAACATAAAAGGGCTTTCAATAATAGAAAAACAGATTCTACATACGCACTTCACCTTCTAGATCATAATCATTCTTTTAATGACGAATTTAAAATTCTTCACATTCAAAATAAAGGCCTCAAGCTATCTTTGTCTATGGAAATCAACAAATTAAAAAAACATATAATTCTGAATGACCAACTGGAGACAAACAGTTCTCCCCTCCTCAACCTATTTCATTAAAGACTATAAAGTGTAAACGCATGCCAAAAATAGATCACTTAAAGGCAATCAGCCGAAATAGCTGTAGTAATAAGAGTTTAAAATAAATTTTGTGGAAGTTTGAAAACAAAGTTTTTAGTGTTTTATTGTTACCCACATAAAATGAATTCATCCATCAATTAATAATTATGCCTTGTAAAGTTTTTCTACTATTACTTTTTGCGAATGACGCAAGGAAATTAGAGCAATCAATATCTCAGGTGGCAACGATCATTACTTTATTATTTTTCAATTTATCAGAATGAAGCAATGTCATAAAAATACCTGCGACGGTTTATATAATTGCGCCGGGTCGTTTTTTGCGGTCGCAATTATGGATTTTCGAATAATCGATTCGGAACCAAATTGTGACCGCTTCGGAATTCAGATTTATTATTTTAATAGCTACCGAATGGCTGTACATCTTTCGGCATCACTCGTTCATGTAATTTGCCGCCGTGATTGATCGCTGTGATCTTGACAAGAAATGAATTCAATCACTTTATTGAGCTACGATGACCATTCGTAGTTTTTTTCGAAATTATAAAATTGATTACAGATAAACGATGCTAACGGTAAACAGTTCAGAGGGGTTAGAAAAGGTTGTATGCTCTACCCGATCGTTTTCAATATATGTTCGGAAGATATCATGAAAAAAGCAATAGATGCTCAATTTTGCAGCTTTAAGAACCTGGGATCACAAACACAAAACTACTACGAAGAACAATGAAATAAATTACGTTGCACTAATGAAACTGATTATCAACAATTCAAATATATCGGGTACACTTACTTATATCCCCTCCTTCGTTTCAGGGATTAGCTAGTTTTTACCTACTCCGACTCTTACTATTCGAAGATTCTTATAGATGCCAATGGATCAAGAGGAAAAAGGTTTGATGTAATTTAATCCAGATTCATGATTCCATTCGGTTTGTAACTTGCCTTCCGAGGCAATATTCTCCTATTCGTATGATAAACCAGTTTTGGACGACTCTGGCTTTTACCTTTTTTATCAGAGACACTTCATGTTTCCTCATATTGCTTCTTCCAGTTTCAAGGGTCCAACCACACTCTTGAAACCTGAAAGAGCTTAGACTAACATCCAAATGAAGCCATCGGTCAAAATTTAAAAAAAATCACCAACAAATAAAATAAATGAGCAATAGTACTCTTTTACACTTTTTCTTGTGTTTTTTGTTTCTTTTTTCTCATTTAGTTAGTTAAGTTTTAATGTTAAGTTATCGTAGAGTTTTTATAATATCTAAAAAACCTACAAATTGTTTTTTGAACTGATAACGCTTTATATAAAAAAAAGCGAAACGTATTCAAGTAAATCAATGAAGTAGTTGACGACTTTTATTTGCCAATATATACATTTTTATATTTACTTTAGAATTTTCATTAAATTCTTCGTTTTAAAACGGAGAAAAAAATAATATAGAAATATTTCACCGTGCTTGTCTTCACATTTTTTTAATGACACTTCAAACTGTGCTGCATCAGAGACATCTCGAGTTTATAATATCTAGTTGTACAAATCATAGGAGTAATTGCATTCCACATGTGTTAAACGTGAAAATATCTGGAACTATAAACTCAACTGGACTTTCAATCAGTACACTCTTATCTCACTAACTTGCTGTTGAAAGTCATTTCATAGATTGGAACCAGTATTTAAGAAATACTATGGTGTGATATTATTTATGATATTGGCAACAGTGACGTACCAAAAGGGCAATTGAGGTTCGTACAATTTAAAGTATTCTAGATAAGTTTACCTATCTTATATTTTAGATAACATTGATCTTCGATATAAATAAACATCGCACCATAGCCATAATGAGTCATATCTTGAAATTGTGTGTTTAAGTAATTCACAATAGAATACATAAGAAATTAGATGGAGGCAGTAATACACAAATGGGATTTAGGAAAGGACTGGGAACACGAGATGCGCTGTTTGCAGTAAGTGTTCTTTCGCAGAGATACTTAGATATAAATCAGGAATATATGCCTGTTTTTATTGAACTGACCGAGGATATCCAGATTCGCCGTGGGGTCCATCAAGAGTGTATTTTATCACCCTTGTTATTCAATTTATACAGTGAAACCATCTCAGAATTAGCGCTTGCCGAGGTCAGTGAGGGCCTTATTATAAACAGTGAGCCACTTAATAAACATATGATATGCTGACGACACCGCCCTTCTGGCAGGAACACTAGAAAGAACTGCAACACCTTGCTGAACAACTAAATATATATTGCAACGATTATGGACTAAAAAATCAATTTGAAGAAAACCCAAGTTCATGGGTATTTACAAAAGCACAAAACATCAAAGTTAAGTTTAGTACTAGATAATACATGAAATTGAACAAATATCTTCGTACAAATACCTTGGAGCATGGATCACAGACAAAAGATCAGACAAACAGCACAGCACTGATCAGACAAAAGAAATAAGATGCGCATTAAAATGCACGGTCAACTTTTAATAGAAAACTGTTTTGTACTCGCGATATCAATATATCGCTTCGGATAAGAATGCTTTCGATGTTAGAAGCATTCGAACAACTAGAAAAACAATGCGAAGTTTTAAATTCCATAAAAATCAGGAAATTGGAATACTTGAGGCACATCATGAGAAAGTGAAAAATTACGAACTACTAAAGAATATAATGCAGTGGTAAAAATCAAGACAGAAGAAGCGTAGGAAGACGTAAAATCTCGTGGCTAAGCAATCTCCGTGAATGGTTTTAATGCAGTTCAATTGAACTATATCACGGCGCGTAACCAACAAAATTATAATTGCCAGAATGATTTTCAATCTCCGACAGGAGCGGAACTTGAAGAAGAAGATAAGTTTTCTTTGTGAGTGAATGCAGAAATAAAACACTTGAAATAGATGAATTGATACCGAATCTGCTTTTATAAGTTTGTTAAAAGTGTTTAGAACCTCTTTTTTTTTTCATTCTGGTCGAAATTTTCTAGTGTTTTTAAGAGACTACTGTTCTTTATATGTCTTGTTTCTTTACTAATCTGTAGAACTTTTAATCAGTATACAGTTCGTGTTGTCACTTATGTTTCACCAGACTGAATGTACTTTGCTAAAACTATGTGGAACATTTAATCTACTTTGCGTAGTCCTTCTCGTTTTCGCAATTATTATCACTATATCTCTATTTTTTATTTTTCATCAGTCTGCTCACAATAAAATTAACATTAAATCTATATTCCATACCTTTATGACTAATTTGAAATAAAGACAATGCCATTGAATCCCACAGTCTTCATATATGATACGCAACTGACTTGTTATGGACCAATAAATTCCGCCTTATCTTAAATTGCAAAGGAAGATGACGTGTTACATTTAGCACTCGATGACAAGGATCTTAGTTTACGGGGTGTTAATGGAGAGAATATGTATGCACAAACCGAGTCTGATAAATGATAATTAAGATAGCTGTTTCAAAAGATTCCCATCATAACCACTTGTGGAAATTTTACAAGGACCTTATCAGGTTCGAAAAGGATAATATTTTTGGAATGTATCGACTGTATAAATTTTTTATAATTAAAATGTGAAGGAATGAGATATTATCTTTGTTAACGAAGTGAAGCCGAAGCTACACTAAGCAAATAAAATATAGGGTAACAATTGGATGACAGGTGACCCAAAAGAGGACGCATTCAACAATAGACATCAAAAGCAACACTGGACAAGAAATGTTTGTGTCCATAAATAAATTTTATTAAAAAATCATACGCACACTTTTCAATGACTTAAGGGGCTCTAAATCGTTAGTTTCTAACCCATTACTCCCCGTTCAGGTCTTGAGTAACCAACACCTACAATTTATCTTAGTTGCGCAGCAATAAAAATAAATCATTTAGTGACAAATCCATGTGAAAAGCCGGGTAATAGTCAATTGAATATTTTGCGTCTTGCGCTGATTTCCAAATTTAAAATTTCCTAATCCATAAGACTATTACTAATGGAAGAACGACGAAGACACAAGAATGATCAAGATGGCAGCATTATGTATAAAAACATTAACAGGCAAATAAAAGCAAAATGAATGGCTTAAGCAA